GCAGAAATAATTTGATTATAAATATATGCAAATGTTTTATCTCTTGCTACTAAGTAGGCAGCATGTTCATTTGCATATTCAGGATCATTTAAAAATTCCGATAAAACGATTGAAATGTAAGCAGTCATAGCTAGTTTTCCACTTGATCCTCCTTGCATATCCTTGTGAATAACATTTCCATCTTCTCTGAAGCTTCCTTCTATAGAAGTAAATATTAAGGTTTTTTTTGAGAATATTCGTAATTAAATGTTATAAAATGGCTCATAAAATTGAAACGAAGAGAGTGCAAAAATTTGTCATTTTAATCTTATGAACCATTTAAAATTCGGCGAATATTCAGGCGTATATTTTACCTTCTTCACTTCCTACTTCTGTATCTTGTTTCGAAAGTATGAAATTCAATCCTCTTGTTATCACATCAGGATCAATAGTGATGTAAGGTTTCGCTTGTCGGAACGACTTCACAGTATACGCTGTCAGCCACGTGCTTCCTACATTATCAGAATTTCCAAAAGCTGAGAAAGAACCATCAGTTCTCTGGAAGGTCAATTGTCTTTGATAACCATTCTCCATGAAAGAAATTGATTTGCCTCTTAGTTCATCACTTAATTGCCCTGTTGATTCAAGATATACGGTAGTCACTATGGTGGGAACCAAGTTAAGCAAATTTTGCTCTCCACAACCATATGACATTTGAATTAACCCATCCAAATTATCCAATACATCCCCTAATAAATCCCCAACAACTGTTGCTGTAGCTGATGTCGTATCGTCTACAGCTGTTGGTGGAAGAACACAAGTCAATGATTGATAAAAAGTTGTATCAGAATTTTCCTTCAATATCAAAACTGAATGTGTAATGGATTTTGGGATTCCTTCGGGAATAACTTTCAGAGGTTTCACAACACTATCGCCAGCTAAAGATCCGATAGCTGTTACACTGATATCAATGAAACCAATAATCTTTGGTTTGATGACTATTCGCAAGACTTTTATATTTCCAGATGTTGAAGTAAACACTTGAGAATATTTATCAGCTTCAGCTGAAAAAATAATTTTTTTTATAAAACTAATTGTTAAATAATCAAATGACAAAACGTACAATTCCAGCCCTCAATGCTTGGTTCTTCCACTTCAAATAAATCATCATTACGACTGACAGAGACGACCACATCCTGATCATTAGTTAAATAGTTGAATATAAGAATGTCTTGCTCCAGAATTTCTCCCCTTTTAATATGATGAGGTAAGTTTAATTGAATGAAGAATGGCAAGAAAACAGTAAGTTCAGGCTTGACATCAGGAAGACCCAAACCAAATTTACTATTCATGGAAACTCCACTAATAATGAACTTTGTAATTGTATCTGGTGGTGTAAATTTAATGATTTCTTCTCCTCGATTCCTTTGTCTCCTATTTCTGGGATTTCTAAATTGGAAAGAATGAAAATTAATGAAAGAAAATGTGAAAAAAATCAGAGGATCTTACTGCCTTCTGTTAATCTCAACATTTTGCCATAGGAAAGCTTCTTCAAAGTTTTTCCTAACTCTGGGAGAAGACGAGGCCTCTGGAGGCCCAGGTTCACCACCACCACCTCCACCAGCATTAGCACCATCTTCTGCTATTATTTTCGATGTAAAACATTTTTCATATTATTAATTACAATTACGCAATTTGAGCTCATTTTTACCTCTTGCATAATAAGGAAACGGAAATTCTGTAGAAAACAAAACAAAGAAGTTATTTCATATATAGCTAAAGCTTGAATAAATTACCAGTTGTGGTTGTTGTTCTTCCAGGATAGTCAAGAAAAACTTTCAATAAGAACATATTTATGTTCTGAAAAGTAATTTATCCAAATTATGCGAGCATAAAAAATGTAAATTAAATTTAAACTTACGTTGAAGTTGCTAATATCTTGAGGTTGTCCCCACCACCCTCTACCCCCTCTACCCCAAGGCTCGTCAAACCCAAAGTTTCTTTGGTTATATGCATTTAATAAATTGAAAACTTCATTCTTTTCAATATCATTTCCAGTTTGCAGAAGTAAAACACCTGTGAAATCGACTCAATGTTTTAAAATGTTATCACAAGTTTAATTATAATAATTACGCTGATCAATTGCCATTAATGAAACTGTTGATCTTCGAGCACTTTGAATTTTGAGTGAAACCTCATTTCCCGGTTCAACATTTGAAGACGAAAGTTCAAGATTGAGCTTAAAATGAAATTAAATCATGAAATCATTTATCAATCTTCAAAATCAAAAACTTTTTTCCATACGTAGTTAGGCAGTTTATCTGTAAAATCTATTCTGACAGTTCTTGTTGTTATGAATCCGTCATGTTCGTAGAAGAAAAAAATGATGTCGCTGTATGGTGCATAACTAAAGTTTGGAGTAAACTTTAACATTGCTTTGTTATTTCTGAATTTAATTGAATCGCTTTCAATCAAAATTCCTTTGCTCATAATTTTGTAGAAGCAACGTCGCAAATAGTCTTCTGAAGTTGTCACTTGTATTTTCACGCGAGATCCAATCGTAGGGCTGAATCGAATAAATTAATTGAACAATGAACATTTTTAATATTGTTAACCATAATTGATTACTTCTCTGTAAGGACTTCTACATCCAATTTTCCTGAAGGTTGATTTGAGGTTTGTGGTCGAATTGTGTTGTAGCTTCTATAGGAAAGTCTTGATGACGTCTTGAGAAAAAAAGAACTGATAAGTTTTGGTTAAATTATTGAATTAGAAAAAATACCTGAATGGAAACTTGATCTGCAAACTCTGGATTAAATTCTATAGAAACAGAGCCAGTTGAATCAAGAGAATATTGCGAGCTGATGATAGTTTTTACTTCACAATTTTCATTTTCCCTATTAAAGCAGTTTGAAGCGATATCTACTTGAACAGATGTTCCTTGTGGTGCCTGTGGAATATTCAAATTTAAATGTTTTTCAAACAAAATGTAAAATTTTGTTGCTTACTGTTGTTCCGTCAAACTTCCGCAAAGTAATTGAAAATTCGTAAGGTGAGTTCTCGACAAAAGTTTGATCTCCATTGAAAATAGCATTATAAGCAAATTGCACAAAATTAATTGATGAAGTCACAGTTGACGTTTTTCCTGACACTGCATCTGTAAAGATAACTTCCACGTTGACAAATTTATTATCTTCAATGCCTAGATCATTCGCTATGTCAACTTCAAGAGTACCACCATTGCGTGATACAGAAACAGTCTTTCGAATTTCAACATTTTGGTAGCCTACGCGACTAACATATGTGCTGTATGTAAATATAACTTCAGCACTGCCTTCTGTTGCTCCCCCAAATGTATATTCAGCTGTTATTTTTACTGGGAAAGATGAGTCAGAAATTGCGACTTGATCTGCATGATCAACATCGATGGAAAATGTTGGAAGAACAAACTCTTGCACAACAAAATTTTTAAGGTATGACTAAGTTTTAAAAAACTGTTTAAAAATTGTTCTTGTGGAATTAAAATTTATCTATTACTCACTTCACTCATAGCTTCGAGCTTGATGCTCCAAGTACCCAAATTTGTACCTTCGCTAAGCTTGAAAGACTCCTCGAACATTCCATTGACAAAGTTAACGTCATCAAAAACTTTTATTTTTATATTTTGAGGATCACTGATTGTAAGTTTAGCTCCCATTAGATCAAATGGTTGAGCTTCAGAATTGATTGAAAACACTCTGAAATTTACTAAATCTCCCGCTTTATATAATGGTTTATCAGTTGTGATGAACGCTGAATATTGTTTAGAGAAATATTCAAGAGATTGCATATTTTCATACCAACGTTTCATTGAACGGTCGAATGCTTTTATGGTCAAATAGTAAGTTCCAGGTTCAAAGCCATCAACCTGACAATGAAATTATTTTAAATAAAATTCAAATTTAATAATAGAAAAACAGAAAACTGCTTTAGTGGAATTACTTTGAAATCTAAATCTTTAATCATTCCAGATTTAAGCTTGATATCATTAATGTTATATTCAACGTGGTCATCGTTGTTTAAAGTGCCAGAAAGTTTTACATGAATATTTAATAAGATTCTTGCTTAACGCATTGGCTGATACAGAAAATCTGTAAGGTTCGGTTGGTCGAATGACGTTCGGCCCAATCACAGAGAATACCCTTCACAAAATAAATTATTTTATCACTTAATCAAAACAATAATCAAATCACTAAATTAAAACTTACGGCTCATGAGCCAAACAATTTAAGACACAAGCCAGAAGAAATGCCAACAAGGCAAATTCAACTTTTATTCCAGACATCGAAAAGATGAATTCTTTTCAAAGTGTCTTCTAGAACTGATAAAATAAGTAGAAGGTTCCCTCTTAAATAATAAGTTCCTTGAATAAAGACATGAATTTTTTATCTCAAAGCTACAGAAGTATGAAAAACAAGATCGATATTTAAACAAATGAATTTTTGTGTTCACATTTTCATTGCTGAAATTTTATGTCTTTGTGAAAAGTTTTAAAGACATTATCAAAATAGAAATGGCGAGGTAGCTTCTTGTTGAGCTTAACCAAAGTTATCTTCAGAATAAGTTTCGTAAAATCAGTAAAATTTTGATTTTGAATTGAAATTTCATGCAGATTTATGAAATATGTAATTACAAACAAATTTTCTTAGAATATCTAAATTAAAATAGTTGTCGTATTGAAGATTTAATTTATAAAGAGCGACCAATGTGTTCATCGAAAAAAACAGTTGATCATACATGTTGTCACAATTGTCAAAATGTTTTCATTAACAATGCATGTAGTACCTTTTAATTAAATACTTGATGAAAAATAAGAACATTTTCACAATAGATATATTTTTTTCAAAAAAAGAAACACAATTTTAAATGTTTCTGAAATATTTTATTTTTATCCGAAAAGTAACAAATTTAATCATTTAAAGAGAAAAATTGAAAATTTCTAATATTGAATTTAAAGTTGAATAAATCTGAAATAATGAAAAGTGAAAGAAGTTAATTTTGTAAAAAAAAAGGATAGAAGGTAAGTGAAGAAAAGTCTCAATCAAATTTAGAGACTGGGCGTTCGTTTTCCATGGTTGATCATCTCAAATTTTATTCGGCCTTCCACCATTACATTGATTTTGTGGAACGTCAATTGGAATGTTATATAAAATTTGGCCTCTTTTAGCTGTATTGAAAATAGTTTTATTAAAATATTAATGATATCAATAAAAATGAAGTTACTTGAGAGATAATAATCGTTGCATTCTATTGTGGCGTCTTTCAAGTTTCCAACATTACTTGTCTTAATTGAATCGATGTAGAAACAAGTTGACCTTTCAGACAAACTATCAAGATACACGTTGACTGTTGTTCCTCCATCACTCTGCTCTAATTTCTATCGTTTAATAAAAAAAAAAATTAATATTTTATTATAAGACAAGAATATTGAAAATTATTTTACTCTTATTATGACAGGATCTATTTCGGTGTCAG